CTTGATTTTAAAATCTGTGGGAACCCTGGGCCCAAGGTCTGCCTGGCTGAGTAATTTCTTTTCGAATTGAGAGGGGGGATGCAGGCTCAAGCAGGACAGTAGGTTTTACTTGTTGCAAGCCACCCTGGAACACAAGAGTGGCTCGAACAATGCGCTAAAGCAACGCATTCACGGACACTTGTCTCTAGAATAATAATTATAATACAAACAAAAGTGTTCAAGCAACGCGTGACAAGAACGCACCCCCAAACACTTGTTCCGGCAAATTCTTCTGTGGGCAAAAGTGTTCGGACCACACCCAAGAAGCAACTCACCCACGAACACTTGCTCCAGCATGTTTGCGTACACAAACATGCCTGGGCAACGCATGGAAACCGCACAATCAAGTACACTTGCAGCAGCCAAATCCTTAGTGCGCAAAAGTGTTTGAGCAACGCTTGAAAACAACTGGTTCACAAACACTTGTTCCAGCATACTCCTGTACCAACGTGTTCAAGCAATGTGCAAGGGGGGCCAGGCTGGATTAGGGGGGCCAGGCTGGGGGCGGGGTACTCTAGGCCTAGAGTCCCAAACGGATTAGGGTTTCGACAGAGGCCCTAATTCAGTAGGGACTCTAAGCTTAGAGTCCCGAATGGATTAGGGGGCCAGGCTGGATTCCCGACAGATGCCCTAATTCAGTAGGGACTCTAAGCTTAGAGTCCCGAACGGATTAGGGGGCCAGGCTGGATTCCCGACCGATGCCCTAATTCAGTAGGGACTCTAAGCTTAGAGTCCCGAACGGATTAGGGGCAGGCCGTGGCTGCCGGGGGGCCTAACTCAGTAGGGACTCTAGGCCTAGAGTCCCGAACGGATTAGGGGTAGGCCGTGGCTGGCCAGGGGGCCTAACTCAGTAGGGACTCTAGGCTTAGAGTCCCGACATGGATAGGGGCAGGCGGTGGCTGGCCGGGGGCCTAACTCAGTAGGGACTCTAGGCTTAGAGTCCCGACATGGATTGACAAGGTTTAGGCACCGTGAAGGCTCATTTCCCGAGTGTAGTAGGTGTACGATGTACGCCTAACTCAGTAGGGAATCTAGGCTTAGATTCTCGATTGAGTTAGGGGCAAAGTAGCAATTCCAGATTGAGCCAGGGTGGTTCCAAAGAATGGCATACCCCTAGGTCAGTAGGGAATGGCACAAACCTCCCTAAACCAATCTGGAATCTAAGCCTAGATTCTCGATTGGATTAGGTGTACGATGTACACCTAAAGCAGTAGGGAATTGAAGGCCCACTGCCACTAATCCAGTAGGGACTCTAGGCCTAGACTCCCGAACAGATTAGGGGGGTTGGGCCAATCCAGTAAAATCCAGTAGGGAAGGCCTAGGCTCCCAAACAGATTGTGGGTTTGGGCCTGCCTTGGAACCTCTGCCGTTGCTCTCATCTGAGGTTATGTTTGGTGGGGCTTTGCAGATCCTTGGAGAAGACCTGCAGGCTACCAGCATCCAAAAGGCAGAGGATGGCCCTGCAAGCTCTAGCCTTGGGACAAGTGACTTGCCTGGCAACTCCAAAGCTTGCCGGCCATGTCGGGGTGGGCCTTCATGCTTCAATGAGTGGCTGACCAGTGACAGTGACACTGCTGCCAACACCTCCTTCCTGGAAAGCTTGCAAAGTCACCCTGCCATGGACCTGGACCCTTCAGCTGCCCCGCGTGAGCAGCAGAGTAACTTCAAGGCCTTTTGGTTGTCCAGAGGAGTGCCCATGGCCATTGCGGCTCAGATGTGGGCCCAACACCCAGAAGTTGTTCAAAGGCGTGAGTCTGCTGCTGTCAGAAGGCAGTCAGCCAAGCAGCAAAGAGCCAAAGCTAAGTTGGCTAAGGCTCAGAAAAAGGCTCAAAAACGCCAGGGTGATGCCCAAAGGGGAGACTAATTCGCAGGCCTGCAGGCCTGCTGGGGGCACATAGAGTCATTGGGCAGTGTAGCAAAAAGGCAGCAGACCTGCACCCCTTTCATGTTTGTGCCAGGATTGCCCAGATCAAGACACTTTGCAGCATGGGCTTGTGTTGTTGAAGACACGTTGCAGCATAGACTTGTGTTGCTGAAGACACCTTGCAGCATGGACTTGTGTTGTTGAGACACTTTGCAGCGTAGACTTTTGCTGTTGAAGACACCTTGCGGCATGGACTTGCGTTGTTGGGCCAAGAGATGCCAAAGACCCCACATGGTAGCATCACAAAGTGGCGGCGCAATAAAAGGCCAAAGAAGCCTTGCAAGGAACCAGACTTTGACCCATGGAGTGAGACTGTGCATGCAGCCTCTGCTGCAACTTCCTCACTGGCAGCATGGGGTGAGGACTTGGCAGATCCCTGGCAGGAAGATGCAGACCCATGGGCGGAAGCTGACAGTGTGGTAAGTAAAGCTGAGCCTTCCAAGACGCGCAAAGTTTCTTTGGGCGCTGGCGCAGAACTGCTTGCAGCATCTACCTTCAAGAAGGCCAAGAACACGTTTGAGACCAAAGGAGGTGATCCTGATGAGTGCAGAAAAAGATGGGCTCAGCCATGCCCCAGAAAGTGCAAGATGGAGGGGTGCAAAGCCAAGGGGATCAGGCTTGCAGACCTGCTGGCCCTCTGCAGCTGCTTCTGGAAGATCTCACAGAATGAACGCTGCCAGCTGCTGCAGGCAACATATGGTGATGCCAGCCAGAAGGGCCCTGAACGTCAGAAAGTTGAGTACTACATTGGGGATGCCCAGGTATGCTTTCACAACTTCTGCAGCAAGCTGGGAAGCTCTCAGAACACCATACGGAAGCTCATGGCTGGTCAGCCAGACATGCGCACGTGCAGCTTTGGCCAACACAGCTTTGGCAGCAGGCCCCGGGACGCACTTGCCACACAGAAGTGTGACCACTTCTTCCAAGAGTTTTACCAGTCTGCAGCAGAAGCTCTGCCTGAAGATGAAGACTGCGCACCTGATGACCCATGGCAGGAGGAGAGGGGCTGCCTTCAAAGTTGTGTTGTAATGCCTAGCCGTTTATTTGTTTGTGCAAAAGGCTACTTTAAACTTAGCTCTTGGGCGCAAGCATGCCAGGAGACTATCTATGGCAATGTCTCTGACCCCTTGACTGTGTCCTGCATGGCAAAGGTTTCTGGCTTGCCGAAGCGGTACATCCAACACTGCCAGATCAGTGACTTGTATTGGCAGTTCCACGCTGAATGGGACATGTTGCTGGACATGCACAGCAAGTTTCAGGACAGGCCTGCAGACCAGAGCAGTCCTGCAGGCCTAGGAGAACTTTTGTTGTTGACATCAACGCTCCATTGGAATATGTTTTTGCAGCCATTTCACAATGACAGATTGTTTATGGACCAGCCCATGGGTACTGTCAGAATTTGAGCCTTGGCTGGGTGGCAGAAAAGCAGGTCAGACATCTCACCTGTGGGCTTGAACGTTTTCTTGTTGGAAACAGCTGCCATCAACCACACACACACAGAGTGTTCCCTGATTATCCACTGGGTTGTCCCTGCATCTTTGGTGCTGATTGAATTTCTTGGGCGGGACACTCCAAGACATGAGGAGCAATGAGTGCCCTGAGGGCTTAGCAAAGTTCCAGAGAAACAGTTGGCAGTTTCAAAATGCCTTGTGCAATACTGGAGGCTACCCAAATTCAGCAGTGGCCAGAACAGTACATTGCATTCACTTAGTGCTGTTTGGAATGGCATGTTAGCCCAGCCCTCTGCCCAGCCAGCCTTTGCACTGCCTAGAAAGCTGTGTGCAGACCTCAGTCAGACCTCAGTCAGTGTCTGAACCTTAGTATGCAGCAGGCTCCGCTCTGCTGGGACCTTAGTGAACTAAGCCTTAGTATTGCAGGGTTTGAGCCTTAGTGTCCTGCTGCCCCTTTTTGCGGCTGCTTTTATGGTTGACGGCAAGTGTGCAAATGCAGCATGGCTGCAAGTGAAAGCATAGAGCTGACTGAAGCTTCATTTCAATTTGACTTTTGGTGCTATGGTCAAATGGAAACTTAGGACCAGAAATTTCTGAACGCCACTACCCAGACACCTTGCAGCCTACACTTTGCCCACCTGCTCCCTGACAACTATACATGTCCCATGCTTGCAAAGTGTTCTTGTACATCCCTTCCTGTAAATCCAGGGCTCAAACAACCATGTGATGCATTTAAGATTAAAATTCACCATGAAGCTTTGGGATTCAGTTATTGCTGCAAGTAATCTTGTGCTTCAATGCTGCAAAGAGAACCAATCACTATTTAGCTTCATGATGTTGAACAGCAAGTTTGAAAAAGGTGGCCCCAATGCGAATGACATCTCAGGTGATGAACTAGCAGGTCCTGTGTTTTCCAAATGGTTGTGCCCTCTGTGCTGGCAAGTACTTTTCAGTTGTTACAGTTCTAAAGCAAAGCAGGGGTATGGACCACTAGGCCATTCAATATTGCAGTCTTGGTGCAGGCTAAAGTGCCCCATGACCATCCTCCCTGTCTGGCCAGGCCTGCTTGGTCATCTTTACCACGTGCCCAAAAAAAAGGTGCGCTTTTCAGCGCTACCCGCTTTTCAGCGGTGCCTATGTTTTTACCCTCCCTCCCTCCCTGTGAACTGCTGCTCCAAGTATTCCATGAAGTAGTCCGAGCCACAGTGCAGGGGGTGGGCACAGGGAAGGGTTGGGATGTGGGCACAGGGAAGGGTTGGGATGTGGGCAGGCAAATGTAACTGTGGGGGGGGGACATCCTTGGGGAGTGGGAAGTGAGACAGTTGGAGGGCATGTGGCACATGAAGAAAGGACACCTTGGAAGTGGGAGGGTGGGTGGAAGTGGGAGGGTGGGAGGGTGGAAGTGGCATGTTGATGAGGAATGATTGGCATGCCCTGCCCCCCCCCAACCTCAAATCATGGGCAAACACTGGTATCTTAGAATGTTGGTGCCTGTATCTTAGTTCCATTTCTTCTGGTTTCAAACCAATTACAAAAAACGGGGCGTCCCACCAGAAACACACGCCCTGGCCCCGCCCTCAAGGCGCCTGTAGTGCGCCAGGTCCGCCTCCAACTGCTGCAGGCCCTGGAGGTACCTTGCGACTTGGATGCGGACTGGGGCCAAAAGGGTTGCAGGCGCCAAGCAAATCGAGGTGCAGCCCACACACACACACACAAATCGGCAAAAGAGACGCTTGGCTCCAATCCAAGGAATCGAGCATGGCGCTCAAATCCAAGGAATATCGTGCTCAAATCTAAGGAATCTCGGCCAGCATCGAGCCCAAACACAGGTTTACCCCCAAACCTCCCCGCCCGTTTCGATGTGGACCCGGACCCGCCTCTGGCACTCGCTCGCCGCACTTTCGGCCGGCGACGCGTCCGCGTCGTCGGCGTCCGTGGCCTCCAGGGAGGCTTGCAGCACCTGCAGCGAGTGCAGCACCCGATGCAGCGTCTCCACCTGCGAGAAATGCCATCCACAGCTCTTGTCGAAGGCACTCGAGGAGCGAAAGCAATGGGTTTTTGGATAAGTAGGATCTCTTGCCTTGGAAGGGGTATTTGTTGGGGAGAGCAATGCAAGATGTTGAACAGTAAGGGGTGGAGCTGCGCAAACAATTGGGTTTGGCTCAAAATGGCTTAAGGCAGCGGACCCCCAAAATGGTTTCGGATCCCCTGACGAATTCCCTTTTACACGAACCCCAGAAAGGGAACAACTCAAAACAAGAACAGACTCAGGATTTGGGCCCCCATGCGGTTGAAACTCATACAGGGGTTGGGGGAACCTCAAAAGGATCTGTTTCTTTGGCTTCCCGACATGAATGAACCTATTGGCTGGAATGCCAAGTTTACGGGTGATTTTGGCTTCCCTTTGAACACCCCGAAAAGGAAATAAGAGCAGGAATCCTTGGGGGGTGCACGTCATTTAGCTGGGCATCCAGAAGCAACCTTTGATGCAAACACCAAGAGGATTCGTTTCAGGCACCGTGGGAGTGTCTTTTCCTTGAACTTACCTCGTCTCAAAGGGAACCCACCCTGCTTTTTGGGGGGTGTGGTACTGCAATTCCCAACCCACTGTCCTTTGCTGCCTTGTCTAAAGGCCCACCCAAAAAAGATGACTCGTCATTGGGTTCCCATCCCCATTTGGACCCCGTCCAACCCCACACCTCCCTCGGCAGCATCTGCGCCGCCGCCCCGCCGAAGCCCTCTGCCAACTCCTCGAAGCGCCGCGCCGCCTGCGCCAGCGCCGCGCCTCTGCAGCGCTCCCCCGCCGCCAAGGCGCCCGCGGATGCGGGCGCGAAGGCGGGGGTACCCCCGCGGACGGGGGCCAGGGCCTCCTCCTGTCGGTTCGAACCGAAGCGAGACATGAAGCACTGGAACACGAGTAAAAGGCAGCAAGGCATGAATCATGCTCAGAGCCCTGGCAGTTTGGGTTGCTTTTCGAGCTTGCCGGTGAGGTCTTCGTATACGCGAAGTCAGCTTGAGCCAAGGCCGAGTCTCTGTACCCCGAAAATGGGCCTCTACCACAAAATGGGGAGGATGGGGGGGGGGGGGGAAGTGGGGCCATAAGTCGCGTCCCCATCAACCCAAACCCCGGTGGCGTGGAAAAAGCGCACCCTTTTGGAGGGAAAACTTCCCGAGAAATCCGCCCAAGTAACACCCAACAGCCCAACACCCCCAACAGCCCCTTCCGGAACCCGAGCCGGAAGCCGCCATTCAGGAGCCATTGAGGAGCCGATCTGGGCCTATCGACCCCAAAAGATGAAAAACCGAAAAGCCACCTCCGTGGATCTGTGGATCTGTGGAGTGGGACCAATACGCCAAGGTGCAGCTTCTCTGGCGATGGCCTGGCGGCGAAATCCATAAATAAAATGTCCTGTTCGTGTTTTTTTTTTGAAGGGAGAGTGAAGGAAAACCCGAACTCTTTGTCTTTTCTTTTTTTGGAGGGGGGGGTCCTCCTGGTTTCACACATACCCATGTGAGTTTGTGTCAACTGGATTCCCCCAATTTGTTGGGCGTTTCATAACAGGTGTGCCTTGAAAAGGAGCCTGAGATTCAAACAAAAACACACCCATCGAAGTTGAAGCCGCACACCTTGGGGACTCCTTTCATTGAAGAGTCGTACGGAATTTGACGTTCACATTTGGCTTCTTGGAGTCTCCCCATTGCCCCTAATAAGGCGATGCACTATGATAACATGTAGCATGTAGGTCATGGAGACTGTAGGCACCCGATGTGGGTGTAGGCTTGTTTGGGAACCCCCGTGTTGTTTGGCGTTCACAGGGAAACCACAAGCCGAACCCATGTGTTCCTTGATTCCGAAATTTGGAGGCAAAGCCTTTCTGAGGGAACCTAGAAGGAACTCAATTAAGCCTGGGCCCCGCGACGTGAACATTCCGAGGGCTCAAAATGACGTTTGGAGCGGGGCACACGCTGACCCCCACTCGCTATGGGAAAGGGCACCCTTTTGGGCGTCAATCTCAAGGGGCCCACCGGCCCACCCATCGGGATTTGCCTCAGGGTGCCCGTTTGATGGTTGATGTCTTCTTTCCCATGAAAGACCAACCCCAAAAAGGCATTTAAACGATAAACACCCAGTCAAACTGAAACTGAGTTGTTCTCATGTCAGCTCGGATTCCCAAGACAACCCCAAAAAGCTGGCCTCATGACTTTACCATCAAAGTCACGGTGAAAGGGGAAACAACCCACCATGTTCTCACCTGAACCCCCCGGAAACGGCTCCAAAGTCATGATCCCACTCAAACAAATGGTGGATTTCAAGGGAAACAACCCCAAAGCGATCTTTCCGGGAACCCCCTCCAATCCAAACTTTTCTGGTCCGAGCCCCCGATCCCAAATGGGTCCGAGCACGCGCGGCGCACCCCACCTCGAACTCCTGCCAGACCCCCGAGTCGGGGCTCCGGGGGTCCAGGCGCGCAAACCGCGCCCCCAGGCGCCGCGACGCCTGCGGCGCCAAAAAAAAAGGTGGCCGCCGGCCGCGGAAAAGGACCGAAGGTCGTGATGCCAAGTTCGCTGGAACAGCAAAAACGCGGAAAAGCACGCGGTTTAAATTGTGCCTGTGTTTTTTTTGGGATATTGGCTCAACCATTGCAAGTTGGTTACCACAGCTACCAACCTTGGGTGTGTGTTTCTTTGAGGGTGCTCTTTCGATGCTTGGTTAAAAGCTAAACAGTTAAAACACACTGGCGTCCTCATTAAAATTCAGAGCCACTCTTCTTTGAGGAAAAAACCGTTGGGCACTCACAAGCACAGCCCTTCCGATGTTCCATCAGGCATTTAGAGCCACTTCTCTTTGAGAAAAAAAACCCTTCTTCCATCGACCTGGGCCCGCGCCCCACGTGCCCCAAGTGCCCCAAGGTCCCCCGCCCCTCTCCCGGGGGCACCTCCCGTGCCACCCCGGCGCCCGCCGCCCGCAGCGCCGCGAGGTTCGCGGCCGCGCGCTCCGCCGCCGCCGAGGGCGGGACACGCGCCGCGAAGTCCGCGGCGCGGGTGGCTGCCGCCAGGTGGCGCTCGAGATCCGAGGCGAAGGCCTGGCGATTCGCAGGACCACGGAGGGTGCAGGGTGGGGAGGTGAGATGGCTTGCGAAGAAACCCTTTTTGGGGATGTGTGTGTGTGTGGCTGTTTTCAGTTTCTGTCTTTTTTTCCGGAGTTGGCGGCCTTGTTCAGGTGCGGTGTTATTTGTTTGTGAAATGTCGGTGGCAGTTGGATTGGGGCAAGCGCAACAAAAGAGTGCAACTTGATTTTCCTCAGAGTCCATCGTGCATATGAGCCGTGCAAGGCGATGTTGGCAAATCCCAATCCCGACTTACCTTTAAGCTTTTGGATTGGCTGTCTCTTCTCTCTCTCTCTCTCTTCGACTTGGGACTTTTCTTTTCACTCTCTATCTCTTTCTTCTCTCTCTATTCTTTCTTTTCACCAAACGAAAATCAGTTCGCCCCAAAGAACCCACCGACCTGGCGTCCCCAGCCTCCAGGCGCCGGGCGTAGGCGTTGACCTCCTGTGTGCTCCAGCGACACCCCCGCAGCTCGTACGCCTCCCCTGGCCTCAGCTACGACATCCCTTTCGTTTCTATGCGGGAAACCGCCTGAACTGGGTGTGGCTCAAAACGAAGGAGCCAGGGCCAACCGCGATGCTTTAGGGTTTGCTTCCATTTTCCAAGCGGCCATTTTGGGGATTCCTATTTTTGCGAGCCACAGCCAACTACCGCGTGAACTGTTAAAACCCCTGTACTGTTGAAATTCTATATAGTATTTGCCCATCCGTAAAATTAATAGTTGGTGTGCGGTTGTCTCTACGTTTGATTTTTCCCCCCGCAGCACCGTTTTCAGGGCCCGGCCTCGCGCACCGCGCCGCCGCCGCTTCGGCGCCGGCGTCAGAAGCGCAGGCCGCCGAGACGTCGAAGGCCTCGAAGGCCAAGGAGACCTCGGTCCTCAGAGTCCCGGAGTCCGGTCTCCCAAAACTCAGACCATCTCTAAACCACCGGTCCGGTGCTCCAGCAGAGAGGTTTAGAATAAGGGCACGTGTCTCGTTGGACCACTTTCCTTGTAAAAGACGCACCAAAATGGGTACCAAGCCTCGCAAAATGACACTCAAATGAACTTGTCGCTGTTCCCCCCCCCAAAAAAAAAGACGACGACAACCCTAATATGTTGACCAAACCATGTTGTTTCTCCCAAAAAGGTACACGGGGATTGATCAATATTCCTGGCCCCTTAATGACAATGGGTAGTTGTTGCCAGTGAAAGTAATCTTGGGTGTTTTCCCTCATGGTCGCCCCACGTATCGATCAACCCCCACATGGCGCCCCCGTCCCAAGGGTACCGCTTCGCCTTTTCCCCAGCCGAGGCTCACCCTGTAGCACTTCGCCTCTGCCTCCGTTGGTGCCACGCAGGCGGCCCGGCAACCGGCCACCAGGTACTCCTCAGCGCAGGGTACAACGTTCTGGCCAAACTACACCCATTGATCACCATTTATTGGGTGGTAAACGGGTGTAATTTGGCTAGACGCCCTTAGTTGGATTGACAGAGGGTTCGACTGTCAGTTGACCATCTAAGTCGTCCTTCTTGGCCAAATGGCTTAGTTCCAGCCCCATTCCCTTCTTTCCCTTGAGGGTTTCTACATTTCTACTTGGTCTCTTTGGCTATGGCTACCTCCCCCTCTCCGAAGAAGCCACTGAACAGCCATGTTCCATTTGCTTCAGCCCCCTCATCCCCCCTATTATGTTCAGTAATGATAGATTCCCTTTTTTCACCAATAGGGGAAATAAAACAATATTCGTAAATGGAGGTATCCACTTACTCGACTTACCCGAGCCCTGCAAGAACCCCTTGGCTGCAGAATGGAACAGCTATAAACGTGTGTTATGTTTTCCTGAACCAACAAAGTCATTAGGCTTACTACCGCCAAAGTAGAAGCAAACAAAGGCAACACCATTGGAATCACAGCGTGTCCCAGTGCTTTATTTTGAGCCAAGCCACGGTAAACCAAGCAAGTCATGCGAAACCTAGCGATCAACAGCCAATTACATCTGTGACTGGAAGGCACCCCGAGACTCGCAGCCTTGGTCTCCGTTCGGCCTGGGTCCCAGTCTAATAAAGCCACGAAGAAGAAACAAACGGGTGAATTGCGCCCCGCCCATCGATCAATTTGAACCAATTGGAGTCCCTTCGTTCGTCCAAACGATTGCGGCTTCCAGAAGTTCCGCTTCCACTAAAGAGACAAAAACTTGGCTCTAAACGCACCCTGGATGCCCTCCAGTAAGCCGGAACTCCCAACGTTGTGAACCCCTTTTGAGAGACCCCCCCACCCCCACCCCCACCCCACCCCACCCCACCCCCACCTACCTCACCCCCCCACCCCACCCCACCCCCCGCGCCATCCGCTCCTCCTGCGCCTTGGCGCAGCGCGTGGCCCGCGCCGTGCCGCTGAAGCCCCAGGCGCAGGACGCCGACACGCTGAAGTCCTCCTGCGCCAGGGACACCTGCGAAGCCCACGTGACGCGACGCGTGGCCAAATCCCGTGGCTGGGGGGGGGGGGTGGAGGCAACTTGTGGGGGGAAGAAGCCCAAAACTGCAACGACCAACCCCTCTGCAAGAAGTGGATCACCAAATAGGGAAAAAAGGGCATCCTATTTGACAGGTTAAGATTCACGCGGAATGCTTGGTTGCCGTTTGCCCCCTCTGCAAAAAGTGCTTCACCTTTTGTGGGAGCAACTTGGAAGACCCTTGATTTCAACCAAAACGCCAAAGTCGAAGGATCCGTTCACCAACAGCAAGCCGGCGCTTCAGGGAAGCCGGGACCTAAAAACCTCGGAGGTTCCTATGGCCCCGATTGCTTGAGCATGTGAACACCTGCCGTTTGCTACACAAATGCTTGGGATACCTAATGGACCTCAGGGTCTGCTGACTCCCACACATGGAAGACACCTCCCCCCCCTAAAAAAAAAGGGGGGGGAAAAGAGCCAGGGATGGCATCGGCAGCTGTCCCATGCGCTTTGGGGATCCCTCAAAACCCCGAAGCTTCTGGGCCCCATAACAAGACCCATCGTGACGCAGGTCTTAAGTCGACTCAGTCAGCCGCGCGCCCAAAACGCACAGAACGACATCCGCCGTTTGGTTGAAGTCAGGCGCTCCCATGAGTCGTATGAGTCGATTGAAAAAAGCCTGGTATTGACATGGTCCACCATGCAACTACCATTGACCTTGGGTTCCGAGATAGTTGCAAGGGGCCTAGCATTTGTCCTTGGAAAAAGAAGAAAAACAAACAAACAAACAAAAAATCCGTTACTCCTGCGTGGAACCCCTCCGCCCCCCACCGGTTCACCCTAGGCAGTCCAGGGCAGGATGGACTAATGGTTCCTGAAACGGGAAACCAAAGAGAACCCAAGTCCACCAAATGTTGGTCATCTTTTGACTCGCAGCAGCCAAGTTGAACGGTGCAAATCTTCCCAAACCCACAGGAAGAATCAACCTCTCAGTCGACTCTATGAGGCCGAATACTCGGGTTTCGACTATTGTGGCTCAGTTGCTTCCAAAATATAAAAAACAAACCAAAAAGCTCGATCTGTCACTTTGCTGACAGACCATCTATGAATCGTTGATCCAATCTGGTGGTTTCAAAGTGGCTTAACCGCCAGATTTGTATCTTGCGTCAAGCAAGGACTTGAACCCGGATAGGTCCATCCAATCTTGCCAGGTCATATGCCACTCAGTTTCTTTCAGCGAATCTACATTCGGAGCCGCCTGCCTCGGTCAAGATGTAGCCGGAGGCATTCGACACCGAGAGGCAGCTCTCCTTGGGCTCCGAGCGCTTCGTCAGATCATCCAGATCCGCCGACCGCAGCACGGAGCGGTTGGCTCCAATCTCCCCGACGATGTCGGAGCTCGCCGATCCAACCGGTGGCTCTGCAAGCGTGCTATTCCACTCAACCTCCCCTTCCTCCGTGCCCAGGTCCTCGTCGACCAATGCCGCAATTGGCGCCTCGGTTTCTTTTGGCGCTCCTTCTCCCGACAGCTCCGGCAACTCAGCAAAGGGCTCCAGTTCAGGAACCGCGGTCTCAGCCTCGACGTCTCCATCGCCAGCCTCGTCCTCTGCCTCTTCCCCCCCTTCCTCCTCGCCTTCCTCATCTTCCTCGTCTTCCTCGCCTTCCTCGCCTTCTTCTTCTTCTTCTTCATCTTCAGCAGTGCCCTCTCTCTCATCCTCCGGCCTGGCAAGCAAAAGGAAAGGAAGGATACCAAGACAAGTGAATTTGCAGCCAAGTTGTTCCATGTCTCACCGGCAGATAAGTGAGGGAAATGAATGTAGGAAAGAGAATCCCCCATGGAAATGACTTTAGCAATCCCATCACCTTCATCCGCCGTTTTCTCCTTGCCTATCTCTCGTGGAACAATAAAGGTATGATAAATAAGGACGAGATAATGGTTGGGAAAGGAATGATGAAAGCAAATGGTGAATGGGTCCCTTCTCGTCGCATCACCCTCTCGGGAATCCCCGGGTAAGGGTCCCTCGTCATAGCTGGGATCGTGATGATTTGCTCAGACCTGGATGTACTGGTCAGTGAGGCAGCTGCATTCGACTGGATGGCATGATATATATATATATATATACATATACTATATATATAGACATACAGTACATATATACAGTATATATATATACAGTGTATATATATATATTATGTATGTCTGTATATATATATATTTATATATGCATAAACGTCAGAGTTAAAATGATCTTCCACTCACGGCTCTCCAGCGCCCGCGCCTCGCCAGGACCAAACCAGCCTCCTGGCCGGCGTTCCAACACGGCCGGCTCCGACATCCCCGCTCCACGGAAGGAAAGTCTTTAGTGGATAACCTTTCACGCGAATGATGGATGGACGAAATCCTGCACCACCTGAGAAACCCTGGCATGATGATTCCCCTGTAAATACCAGCAAACAATGGTTTCCCATGGTTTGAAAGTGGTGAGAACGGATTTCGTCCATCCACAGTAGTGGGCTGGTGTCGGAGCTAAGCCCCAGCTCACCTTCTGGCCCCTTTGGTGGTTTCAAAAGGAAGCCCACTCGTGCAGCTGACGGTCCCAGGCAAAGCGGCATGGCATTCTCTTGGAGTGCCACGTATGGGTGGGTGTGCGTGCGTGCGTGCGTGCGTGCGTGCGTGCGTGCGTGCGTGCGTGCGGG